TGTCGAAGGGAGCGTCCGCCGCTCAGGGCGCCGCCAAGTAATCCTTCGCTTCCGGAAGTTAAGTGTGACGACGAGGTAGTGGTGACTGGTGAGTGACTTTATTGTTTGGCTATGGAGTGGCTTAACTATCTATGGGTGTAACTGTACTATTTATAATAAGTGATCCATATTTGGGGCAATATCATGTTGATGATCAATCCTTTGCAGTGTATGCATTTTTTAATTTTGTATTGGTTATTTTATAAAAGGTGCCTACCCGTTTACATACATCAAGCTGTTAGATAATAGCCGTTTTCACGACGGCCATCTGGTACACATTTGGTGCACATCTGGTACAGATTAGGTGGAGATTTGGTCAAATCAGGTTCAGTGTATCTCTTAGCAGCTATCAGCTAGGGTTGCGCTAATTGCTTATATGCCTGCTTTGTCATATTATCAGAGAGCATCATCGATTGAAACACTGAAATAAATTCATAAAATGAGGATATTTGCTGTAAAAGAAATTAGGTGCAGATTTGGTCAAATCAGGTACATTCGCCGAATAGCCCGTCGTGAAAACGGCTAATGTCAGCAGACAAAAAGACGTTTATAGTCGCACTAAAACAGTATGCACTATGCAGGCTCAAATTTACAAATCTAACTGGGTACGTGAGTAAATAGGTGTATTTAAGCACACAACTTATCACTGCTTTAGGTATAATCAAGCCCAAGTGAAGCCTGTGGTTAAGCTGCCGGAATTCCACTCCTTGCTGAAAGGAATCCATTGATATACGAAAAGTTTGTAGAAAGACAGATGTTCCCGCCTGAAGTACAAACACGTCCAAAACTTTCCTTCATTATCATAAGATTAGCCTCACAAAGGTCGACGAAATGCTCTCCATAGACTACTCCAGGATTCACGTCGCCAGGCACTAGCGTTTATTCACCAAAACACTCTTTCCTGGACCCCGAAACGCTGCTGACAGCTCTTCTTCCATGCCTTCCGGGCTGTTTTTCTCGGCGCTTCAAAAAACACTCTATTCAAACACGGCTGGCGCGTGCTTTTATGTGTGCCGCGTTGTGTCCCTCTCTCCGTCTGACTCGGAGTCCTATATGGTGGTGGGTCGGTCGTCACGAGTCGAAAGGTCACAGCTGCAGTCATCAGGCTGAAAAGCTTGCTCACGCTCGATAGAACAGCGAGCCCAGTTGCAGCCAAGGTGTTCGGGTGTGTCGATTCGGCAGATTTATCTGGTGGGATTTTCGGCGCGAAAATTTGACTTCGATGGCATCTGTACCTACTATGGCCCCTGACCTGAACAAAAAATAGCCGGCAAAAATCGTTGTTATCCTTTCTGACGGTATTTCGAAAATCACCTGTTACTTTATTTGCTACGAGTGCCTACATGCCCTGCAGAAGCAAAATTATTGTATGTAATGTAACGTAACAAATGTGTCAATTGTATATTAATTGAATGTTTAAATTTTGATAAATGATATTGAACTGGTACTAACATGGCATCGGTAGTTGAAGCGTAATATTTGTACATATATAGTGCTGCGCTTCGATGCTGCTTCGATGCAGCCACTCTTGTATTCTACTCGTACTAGTACATATGCTTTTATTTGTGTATGTCTCAATTTCGATCCCGATTTTGGTATTATCAATGATTTTGGTTTGAACTTGTTTGAGTATCTGTTCCTATATGACTGGAATTAGTTTCGTTTCAAAGTAACATAAAAATGCATTTCTGAACGTCCTTTTTTGAAACACAAAGCGACCACTCCATCCAGCAATAAACTGATATGTCGTCAGTTATCGGGTACAGTGCATACACATAGCTGTTCAGTGAGAAGGCGTACCTCCTAATGCATTTCATCACCCAAGCGACGATCCAAATAGCTCGAAGCTATTGTTTCCAACGCCGCGTCGCATGTTTTTCGCTTTGCTTTTAGTTTCTCTTCGAAATCCATCCGGAAAGATACGTTAAGTGTTGTTTTGTTGGAACTGATGGCTTTGCAAACTTGTGACCGGAATCTGCAGCGAAAAAACGTCATTCGCGGAATCGAACGATAGAGCTCCGGACGAAAGAACCACCCCATTAGCACGTATCCAACAATCTTTGACTGCCTATGTCGCACAGAGTTTAGAAGGCGCACTTTGTTTACTGGGCGAGCTGCGCCTATGATTACTGTCATGTGAGTTTAAAGAGGACAGATGGGGCACGCTGGCACGTGAGCTAGGCTGTGTTATGCACCATGGTATGCAGGATGCACTGCATGTTAGCCAGAATTGTAGTGTGTAGACTGTTGTGCAGTACATACATAGATTGTTAGACGGGCAAGTATGATATGCCTCGGCATGGTTCCTTCCTCGCAGCATTAGGCTGTCGCTGCAATGTCACTGACAGGCGGCAAGCCTTCGCCAAACCTTTGCTTTGCTTGTGTCAGTTCTATGTGATACTGGCACTTGGTGAGTAATACACCTTTTTTCGTCCGAATTCACAAAGATGAAGTCCAAATTCACAAAGCTGAATTCCAAATTCACCAAGCTGAATTCCAAATTCACAAACCTAAATTACGAATTCAAAAGTCAAAAGTCCAAATTCACAAACAAAAAGTTGGAATTCAAAAAGATAAGATCGAATTTCAAAAAGCAAAAATGTGATTTCAAATAAGTAACAAGCAATTTCACAAACCAAAAATGCAATTTCAAAAAGATAATGCTGGATTTCAAACGTTGTTTCTTGTTGTTTTCTGATGATATGTTACCTAGCTCTTTTAACATATACCTACAATTTAAAATGACAAAATATTTTGTTTTTTCGGATGTAAAAATAATGTTCCTATATCTTCAGAATTTGTCGGTTTTAGCTTATAGTGGATACCTAATAACGTGATAATGAGCAGAGTGGCCATCTGCAGGCACTGATCTCGTTGAAATAAATGCAAGGCAACGGACGGACAGTTTTATTTGCGACTTAGACAAAAACAACGCAAAGCTGCTTGTCTGACAACGCCGTAGGGCACGTTTGGAACTAAGCCACTACAAATCAGAAACATATCTTGAACCTCCATCACTCTCACACGCCCATCGCCAGGTCGGCCAGGGCCACGCACCCGGCATAGTGGCGCTGGACGTGATTGTAGAAGTTCATGCACATCACCGGGTTGATGCACTCCATGGCGGCGTCCATCTTGGCCTCCAGGTAGCGCAGCCGGTGCTCCTGCTGGGTGATGCCGTCAGTCGTGTCCATCATGGCGCTGAATGATGACGCCATGCCCCGCTTCATGTTCGCCTTCACTGCAGACCAGACAGCCTCAATCGGGTTCAACGGCGCGCTGTATGGCGCTGTCCGTACCAGCTCCAGACCAGGGAACTCGGCTGCAACTGCCTCCAGGTCACAGTGTACCGGCGCGTTGTCACAGACGATCGTCACCTGGTCGAGCGGCAGAGGGCAGGCCTGCAGGGCACGTCGCAGCCAGTCAGAGCAGTCCGTCTTCCGAAAGGACCCTCGTCGGCGCTCCCAGTAGATGATGCCGGTCTGCGACATCAGCCCGATGATATGGACGTTGGGGCCCTTACTGGTGGCGGCCTTCACCGAACATCGCAGGCCGCGGCGGGATCGGCCCTGAGAACGCCGCAAAAACAGGTTCGCGTTCGTTTCATCCATGTAGAGCACCGATCTCCCACTCCCCGTCGCCGCCATCACCTTTCGCACGTACTCGGCCCTCTTCTGCTTATTTGCGGCGTTGTTCATGGCCACTGGCTCGGCCACGACCTTCTTCATAGTAAACAGCTGGCCGTGCAGGTGGCGGTGGATGGTCGGGACGGATATGGTGACACCGGTGTCCTGGCGCAAATTGCGACCGATCTCCACGAGAGATATCAATGGATTCTCCTCGACGTAAGTGACCATCTTGTCGACCATCCCCTGGGTAACTTTCTTCTTTGTGGCACCGCCACGGGGACGCGGCAGCTGTCCTTCGGGCCTCGTAATGTACCCGTAGGCAGTGCGGACCGGAATTCCATTCGCTGTCGCAGCCGCCTTCCAGTCTCCACCTTCATTGAACACGGCCACGACCCGCTCTTGGGCATCCCGGGGGATCCGCTTGTACGGCCCACGCCTGGTGCCCGGCGGAGGGCCGCGCCTGCCTCGCGGCTGTGGTGGGCCGTCACCGCCACCGGCAGGTCCAGCTTCGTCAGGAGCTCCGTCAGGAACTGGATTTTCAACCTCTGTCAATTCTACCTCAACTTGCATATCCCCATCATGGTTAAAAAAATGGTCAACCTCCGTTGAGGACTGAGACATACCTGGCTACAATAAAATAAATCACAGCAAGTTATTGACGTTAACAGAGCAAATGAGGTAAGCATCTGTGAGTTCAACGTTCAGAATGATTCATGTGGATTCATAAACAATTGTTGTAAAAAATCACGTGTTCCATGTGCTATTTTTGTTAAATGAGTTCCTCCAAATAGGAATATTACATAATATTAGCAGATGTATTCCTCATGCGGAAATTTATGTACCTTTTCTTATAAGCACCTCTTATAAAAATATAAAATTCAGGTGCAGCAGCTTTGTCTGTAGTTAGTTCAGAATATCTTTTGAAATCAAACATTATCTTTTTGAAATTGCATTTTTGTTTTGTGAAATTGCTTGTTACTTATTTGAAATCACATTTTTGCTTTTTGAAATTCGATCTTATCTTTTTGAATTCCAACTTTTTGTTTGTGAATTTGGACTTTCGACTTTTGAATTCGTAATTTAGGTTTGTGAATTTGGACTTCAGCTTTGTGAATTTGGAATTCAGCTTTGTGAATTTGGACTTCATCTTTGTGAATTCGGACGAAAAAAGGTGTAGATCCCTCTATAAGAGTATATTTCCTCTGAGATCGATCCATGCATGAAAGATATTCTTGGCGGAAGCTCCACGCATGCCATTTGTTTCATCACTTCCTTCCTTTGAGTTCCCCAATGGTAGTACGAATAAACATCATTAAGAAAACACGCATTGTATTATCTACAGTGAACAATGACGACAAAGCAGAGTAGGGTGACAATGTGGTGATGAGGGGTGACGCAATGTTGTACTGGCGCGGCTCCATGCTGCATGGCCGCCGGGTGTTCCCCTGTAACAGACGCACAGACAGACACACAAACATCAGCTGGCAGACGCTGGGTAACGGACTGACATGTGCAGAAGGGCCGATGGTGGTCTTTGTTGGGATCACCAAAGTCAAATAACACGCAGGGGCTATTTGATGACGACGCAGCCGTATCATAAACCACTTCATCGAGCCTCCAGCATCACCACAGTTTGGAAATAGGGAATGACAGATTACCATCAATATGCTGACCGTTTACTTCTGTTGTCGACAACTAAGCAACAAGAAATGAAGAAACAAACTAGTACTTAAAAATCCTAATAAGAGCTCAAAAACTGCTATATTCATACGACACTATGATGGAGCACCCGGATGACCTCTGAGTGCGCCCTGATGTTGCCATAGCGACGCTGCATAACCATAAGTGGGATAATGGAATGCATTAGTCATGTTGTAATAGCTCGTGGCGCCTTCTGGCCTCCTCATATCCCCAAGAAAATGCATAACGACCAAACAAATATATACCAACGACGGGTGGATCCGCTTTTTTGCCATGCCATCAACTATTTTCACGTTGCGATAACAAAATTTTTGCACTGACTATTTTCATCTTTGAGTTTTTGAGGGCTGTTTCATAAAGTTCTTCATTCCGGTGCGGCCCAGTAACGGATAAACCAAATGTGATTTAGGATGGATGACTGTAGCTTGAGTAGAAGTGAACTGACAATGGAAATACACTAGGGTTACCCGCGTGCTCCGCAACGCGAAAGAGGGTTATTTTTGACCCGTGGGTATTGGGTTGGTCTGTGTCGATTTGGTTGGTGTCCATTTCGTTCGATTGCTTTTTGACGGCCAAGCATTTTGTAATAAAACAAAAAAGGATACATCGCATCGAGGTGCCCGTGTCGTATTATCATGCGTTCTGCTCTAGAATGATTCGAAACTGGTGTGAAGTCTTTTGAGGGCCATCGAGGAATTTCGCTAAAAATGACAATGTAATGGTTTGGAACATTTACATTTTTAAGAATACTGTTGCTCATCATGCAAAAACAAAGATTGAACCTTGGACAGAATTGAAGACTCTTTCCAACTGTACCATTTTCAATTGCCAAACGTATCAGGTTATGCAGCAAAACCCGTGTGAATAATAACAGTCACCTAAAAATAAAATTAATCCCAAAATCCGTCAAAAACCGCAATTTTCCCAATAAAAGCGCCCTCCCCGGTGCACGTAGCGCGTGCCATCCCCTGCACCGCACACCATTCGATAGCCCGTTCAATTATCTACACGATGCTGTTTTCCCCGTGCCGGTCGGACCCCTGGTCACCAAGATATTGCACCGGGACCAGACCCGTGTCTGGCAAATTTGGCTGTTTTCGCCCGAATTCGCACGCCGATTTATACATGTAAAGTCTATGACGCGAATTTGCACTTTTTGGGCACGTGCCACGCGCTCCCTATCAATCCGATCGAGCTGAGACCCCTCAAAGGCACGTCGCGCATCCTTGCTCTATAAGTTGTGCAAGTTTCGCCGCGCTAGGTGCAACGGTCTGGCCTGTAGTCCACGCAAAGCACCATCAAGTCGGGACCTCGGTAACGGACAGACGCACCCTCCTCAAATAGTAATATAGACAAGCGGCTGCGCCACTTGCTTTGCTGCGTGGTAGGAAAAAATTGCGGCACCAGCCAATTTGCTTTCGAATGGTGTTTGATTCATGTCGATGTGTTGTCTAGAAGCATAGATATGGACGGAAATGTGAAGAGAATTTAAAAAAGAGCTGTTCTTAGGGCGTTGTTGGATGAAATTTGGGTGATACGGGGTCAATACGGGTCAAAGGGGTCAGCCCCGGTCACTTTGGGTCAGGCCAAGTCACATAGGTCACCTCTCGTCCAGCTGGGCCACTGTTCTGCTTTTGCCTCCACCACTACCCCTACCACTACCCCTACCACCACCCCTACCACTACCCCTACCCTTACCCCTACCCCTACCACTACATCTACCCCTACCCCTACCACTACATCTACCCCTACCCCTACCACTACCCCTACCACTACTACTACCCATACTCCTACCCCTACCACTATCCCTACTACTACCCTTACTACTACCCCTACCACTATAACTACTACCCCTACCACTACCCCTACCCCTACTACTACTCCTACCACTACCCCTACCCCTACCCCTACCCCTACCAACACCGCCGGGTCATGTCAGGTCACAGAATAATTGGATCCAATCAGTACTAAAATATCAGACTTAAAGTGTTTCCAGCCCTGCTCCTATTCGTGCCATTCCATTACGTTTAATCGTATTTGTCGGAAATGGCGCATTGTGACAAATGTGGCGCATTGCGGCAAACGTGGCGCATTTTCACCCGGTGATTGAGCATGCATCTGTGCACCACATTGCAACTTTAACAGACCATATTTGACAAAACTGTGCGATTTGCGGCAAAAATGACGCCCTGAGACAAATGTGGCGCATTGCGGCAAACACGGTGCATTTGTATACTCGTATCACAAACTGTTCCCATTGAATGAAAATCAACACATATTTTCGCCACTATTTATTCAAATTAAAACTTGCCCATCCGCCAATGCGAGGCACCCGCCACCGATCGGCATGCATTTAGCTCACAAAGTTTGTCGACCCCGGCTCTCAATGAAGATATAAGAACCGATCAAAATTTCATTGGCGCTCTTCCAGCGCGCCCCACGCGCGAACCGTGCACCCCAGCGAGTCGAAACCTAGAAAAGGCGCTGACCCGCTCTGTCACCTAGAAGGTGTGCAAATTTCAGCCCCCTGCGCCGTACCGTCTGCCCTGTAGGCGAGTGGAATTGAACCCACTACACGGCGTGGCGGACAAACAAACAAACAAACAGACGGATCCTGTTCAAATAGTAAGATAGACAAGCGGCTGCGCCACTTGCTTTGCTGCGTGGTAGGAAAAAATTGCGGCACCAGCCAATTTGCTTTCGAATGGTGTTCGATTCAAATCGATGTGTCGTCTAGAAGCATAGATATGGACGGAAATGTGAAGAAAATTTAAAAAAGAACTATTCTGAGGCCTTTGGATGAAATTTGGCTGATACGGGGTCAAGACGGGTCAAAGGGGTCAGCCCCGGTCACTTTGGGTGAGGCCAGGTCACAAAGGTCACCTCTCGTCCGATGGGATCAGCCCGGGCCACTGTTCAACTTTTGCCTCCACCACTACCCCTAACACTACCCCTACCCCTACCACTACCCCTACCACTACCCCTACCCCTACCACTACCCCTACCCCTACCCCTACCACTGCATCTACCACTACCACTACCCCTACCCCTACCACTACTACTACCCATACTATTATCCCTACCACTACCCCTACCACTACCCCTACCACTACCCCTACCCCTACTACTACTCCTACCCCTACCACTACCACTACCCCTACCACTACCACTACCCCTACCACTACCCCTACCCCTACCAACACCGCCGGGTCATGTCAGGTCACAGAATAATTGGATCCAATCAGTACTAAAATATCAGACTTAAAGTGTTCCCAGCCCTGCCCCTATTCGTGCCAACCCATTACGCTTACTCGATTTTGTCGGAAATGGCGCTTTGTGGCAAATGTGGCGCATTGCGACAAACGCGGCGCATTTTCACCCGGTGATTGAGCATGCATCTTTGCACCAAATTGCACCCGTATCGGACCATATTTGACAAAATTGTGCGATTTGCTGCAAAAATGACGCCCTGTGACCAATGTGACGCATTGCGGCAAACGCGGTTCATTTGTATACTCGCATCACAAACTGTTTCCATCGAACGAAAATCAACACATTTTTTCGCCACCATTTATCAAAATCAATAATTTCACCATCCTTCAATGCGAGGCACCCGCCACCGATCGGCATGCATTTAGTCCACAAAGTTTGTCGACCCCGGCTCTCAATGAAGATCTACGAACCGATCAAAATTTCATTGGCGTTCTTCCAGCGCGCCCCACGCGCAAACCGTGCACCCCAGCGAATCGGAACCTAGAAAAGGCGCTGACCCACTCTGTCACCTATAAGGTGTGCAAATTTCAACCCCCTGCGCCGTACCGTCTGCCCTGTAGGCCGGCTAAATTGAACCCACTACACGGCGTGGCGGACAAACAGACAGACAGATGGATCCTGTTGAAATAGTAATATAGATTTGGGCAACAGAGCTTTTGCAGAGTGGAGCAGCATTATTGCAAAGTAACGCGGTTGTCATTATTTCGAAAATGTTTCAGTTTGGAGGACTATTATTCTAAAAACATCCACCTGTAACCTTTCCTACTACGGGTACGATTGTACGCTACTGAGTAGGGGAGAGTGGGGCAAAGCGGCCACCCGGGGCAAAGCGGCCACCCATCGTTTTAGCCCTTCATAGCTGGCGTCAGTTCCAATTTATGGTTTCCAATTATACTTCTCTTCACGGTCGTTCGAATGAGCCAGACCGGGGTTTCAGGCCCATCACCATTGTTCTGTGAAACACGGAAAAGCATTTCTTGCCAGGTTACCAACTATGTTTACAATTTTTAAATGTTATGTTATTCCATAACCGTTTGGAATTTTTATAAGCGTTCTTGTCCATGCATTGCATGGTTATCGTACATGTATTCTACCAATTTTAATGTTTTTTACCCCACTAATAGCTAAGCTGGAATATTTTTGTCTCGGACGGTATGCGCGGGGCAAAGTGGCCGGGGCAAAGTGGCCACCCCCCAATTGGCCATAAGCTGCTTCCATCTGGATAAAAAACATTATTTACATTCAAATGTGTCGTCATGCATTCATCTTGGCCACTTTTCAGTTGCATGAGTTACCAAATAATGCAATTAAATGTTTTTTTTTCATGAAAATCCTTTCTTTGTTTACCTACAGATGGAAGATGATAAAGTAAACATCCATCCTCGCTTAACCTTGTCACCATCAAATACCCTAGTCGTACACGAGACAACTATTTTGTTTCTCATGTCGGGACTTGAGAAGACGCCGGTGGCCGCTTTGCCCCAGGGTATGGGGCAAAGTGGCCAATATGCATAGGTTTAAAGTTTTGTCAATATCTTTCATATGTGAACGCCTTTGGAAATAAAACGCAGTTGAAATAAAAGGCAACTTAATAGGGATTACATTGGTATAGAAAGAATCTTTCCAAGTTTAAAAATCAAGCGTTGGCATCGTGAGAAGCGTTAGGGTGGCCGCTTTGCCCCACTCTCCCCTACTGATACCCTACTAGCTAGTTCACCTGTTTCTCCCCTCCTCCTCCCCTCCCCTTCCCCCCTGCAGCACTGACCGCTAATGACGTGCACCTGTACGTGCGCGTGCGCCGCGTTGGCCGGCGCGCACGTGTAGGCGCCCGAGTCGCGCAGCCGAGCGCCGCTGATGGTGAGCCGCGAGGTGACGTACTCCTGTGAGGTCTCTGTGACCCAGCGGTCGGCGGCCAGCGGTTCGCCGTTCTGTAGCCAGCTGAGGGCCACAGCTGCGCAAGGAGCGCACTGGGTCAGTCGAGAAGGTGTGGTCGGGGGATGGCGAAAAAGGCCAGGGCAAAAGTTGTACATACTTTTGCAAGAGCATGAACGCTATTAAATTAATTAATAACAGAATAATACTAAATGTATGTTCCGTAACTTTTTGGGATCTTATTATATGAAGACCATGGAATAAAAGATGTATAAACACTTTTGGCATTTACTCATTCAAAGCTAATGCGATAGTGCAATTACTTTGGGAAAACGAATAAACAAAATGATTAAATATTCTTGACCAAAAGCAAAATGGGACGAAGACCAAAGACAAAAACAGAAAGAAAGAAAGAATAAGAGAAAGAGATGGATGGAGAGAGGAAAGGGAGAGAGAGAGAGAGAGAGAGAGAGAGAGAGAGAGAGAGAGAGAGAGAGAGAGAGAGAGAGAGAGAGAGAGAGAGAGAGAGAGAGAGAGTGAGAGTGAGAGTGAGAGTGAGAGTGAGAGTGAGAGAGAGAGAGAGAGAGAGAGAGAGAGAGAGAGAGAGAGAGAGAGAGAGAGAGAGAGAGAGAGAGAGAGAGAGAGAGAGAGAGAGAGAGAGAGAGAGAGAGAGAGAGAGAGAGAGAGAGAAGGCAGAAAGAATGGGGAAAGAGAGTAAAAGAAAGAAAAAGAGTATCTGGATATAAAATGACGCGATGATGTAAGGACAGCAGGGATACAACGCAGTACATATACATACCTTCTGAGCCAGTGGTTGGCATATTTACAACACAAGTGAGCCTCAGTGTTGAGTCCACTTTCGCGTATACTTGTCGTGGACCCTGGATTGTGGCAAAAGCCTCTGAGGAAAAAAAACGAGCATACATATTTATTACGATTACAGGTGAAGCATAGCATGTACAACTGGGACATTTGTAGCCTATAGATATGATCCCGTCGACGGGCGTTTTCGCTATTTATTTCAGAACAAAGCATAGGCTCGTGGCATGAAAAAACATTTCAGACACGTCACTCCGCTGAGGTGACACAAACTCACCTACTACTCGAAGATAAAAGGCCAACGACCTTTTGGGCTCCGTGTTTACCTGACATTCATACACACCAGTATCACGTGCCTGTGGGAAAAGGATATATGAACTCGATTACAAACAGAATGGTCAGTCACCCGTACCTACAGGGAAAGGAACATTTGCCAAATCACATCGTAACGGTTTTGTGATGTGAAATGCGCGTAGAAGGGTCGCCGATTGAATGTTTGTCATGCTAAATGATTTGTATTTGTGTTTGTATATGGCGGTTAAAACACCCATCACACTAAAATGGCTATTCCGAGGGTCGTGTCAGAGTCAAAAGGGAAAACAAGTTAGGATGCGCTCATAAATTACATCATGCGGCAATCAAACCAAATCACATATTCATGAATGCACATGATGACGTACATGATATACGCCAGACAAAGCGAAAGAAGCCTCTTACGTTCCAATGCTACTAACATCTTTCGTGGGTGCTTCTATTACGAACACTTTTCCCTGGAGAAATTATGCGCGTTCGGCTAGGAGATGTGCGGCGGCTGGGGGACACTAACCAGACCCAGTGCTGCTGGGTCACTGACCTGTGCGTATTTGACCAGCAGCGTCCAGTTCTGGGAGCCCTCCGGATGGGCTACCTGGTACCGGGCGTCCGATGTGTATGTGAAAATGTCCGTGGTTAGGATGTGCAGATCGCGCTTCCTAATCCACGATACCTGTGAAGAGAACAGAGAGCGGGAGATCATGGACGCGTGATGCAGTGCGATTTGTTAGCCACAGAAAATGTCTGAGATAATTATGTTGACGCTTGTTTGATGGCTGATTTTCAGCACCGTGTCACCTCTTTAGCGTCTTCATAGCAGACGCTAAAGTGGCTGTCTCTGGATTGAAGCTGTATCGGCTGTTACGGATTTTCAGGCTGTAAAGGTCACGGCGCTAAGTTTTTCCGAAGTCATCGGTCGTCGTAAGACTGACCGTCACCAGCGCCAGTAACAGCGAGATAGTTATTCCAAAAGTTTGCTCGGCGATGCCATCTGACGCATGATTAACGCTAACGGCTCCGAGTATTGTCAAAGAATGGCACAGTTGTCATCATCATTTGGGCGTCCACTCAGCTCTCATGACAGCTTTCCCTTTCCGTTTGCTGAACTCGCTCCACTAATTTTGACTGGAAGCATTGAGTGGTAAGTGCCGAGTCACTTTCAAACTTGGTGCTGAAAACAGATGCTGCTAAATGCCGCCCTAAGCGTCGCAGATCGAGAGCGAACGCACGGACCGTTAGATCCTGGCTCTGCACATAGATGTCGCTAGTAGTTCAGCCTGAATGTATACTGTGCCGCAGTACATGCCGCCGAAAACCCAATACGTAGGCAGGCACTCCCAGGATGTGATCATTGTCATTACATTTACACCATGAGCAAAACAGTCGCTTTCGATCAAAAAGGATGCATTAGGAGTGTTTTGTTCCATCTTCACGTCTGCACATTGCCTTTTCCATTCGCCTTATTCCCTCCATTTCATCTTGCTCATATTACATCGGTTATATATTGCGCCGTCCGCACCGACTGAGCTGCTTCGTTCCGCAACGATTTATGTTTCCTTTAATGTCTCCAAATGCGTTATTTTCGCGCACGTCTGCGCTTTATCAGCGTGTATCCAGGCCTCTAGAGCAGTCATCAAGTCGGCACTGGGCACTGGGCGCCTTCATCAATCATAGGAAGACGAGCGGGCGAGCGGACGAGCCGGCTCTCTGGCCGGCAGGTCGGCAGACGGACAGACAGACAGACATACAGGCCGATGGAGGAGCCCCGGAGAACAACACGGCAGCGGCCGAGTGATGGTCTACTGGCGCACAAACAGAGCCGCACAGCCGGCGAACGGCGGTTCGAATTGTAAACAGGTGTCGAGACCACACGAACGCCCCTGCCGCCGGCTCAGAGCAGAAAATCGCCTGTTCAAATACGATACACGGCGTGCTTAAATAGCCCGAGCTGTGGAAAACGTGCTTCATTTGAGTGCCGATGTTTTGAATAAGATTTTCAATGGATGAGCTGCATTACTGATAGTGGAACCTGATATAACTGCATTTAAGCTACTGACGCACGGGGGCAACTGAAATCTTTGTTAGTTATTATCTTTATATTACAGTTAATATTTCAGGCATATTTTGTTAAGCGTTTCTGAAAATATCTCGTCAAAACGAGCTATCTACAGCAACCATGACATCATTGGTAGCTAAAATATCAATAGAGTCTTAAAGGGACTATCCCACCTTCTAAAATGTTGTTAAAACCAGTTAAATTGTGCCCGACTTTATAGATTGGATGACCAGGAACACGGTTCTGGCATTTATTTTTCATTAAACATCTTAGGCTTCCCATATTCCAAACACAAACTTTCAAATATGTGACGTCACAGCCCAAAATTACCTCCTTCCCCAGGCCACATTACTGTCATAAAGCTGATTCTTTTTACTCTGTAGGCACCACAACAAAGTTCAGACCAAGTTTTAAGCGATTTTTCAACGAACAAACCCATTTAAATCAGAATGACTAAACGAGGTGACGTCACACTAACGGTCGCTCCATGTTGAAGATAGGGCCTTGTACAAGGCCCATTTTCAAATGAAAGTAACGAATTTCTTCAACACCAAGAGGCTGCGGGGGTTGCAACCTAGATAGATAGTGGTTTCTGAACCTCGCCGCAAACTTGGCTATCTCAACTCAAACCCCATGTTAAAGGTGGGATAGTCCCTTCAAGCAAATGAAAATGAAACAGAAAGGATAAGATTAGGGGAAGCGGGGGTAACACCGCCCCCCTAAGCTTTTCGCCAAAATGAGAGAATATGTGTGAAGTCTCTTGGTAGTTATTGTCTTGGTTACAATATTTAAACATTTTCTCACGTGTTTTAGGTACTTATTTTGCATGCTCCTAAAAGGTTTTCATGTATCACGACTTTTAAAGACATTCAGAAGTGCTCCCAACTCATCGAATTTTTATAAGAGAATGTACATTTTTCTTGAAATGCCCACATTAAGCTTCGATTACACTGAATCACCGGAAGACAAATTAGAAGACGCTTACCTTCGTGCAGTTAATAGGAAATAACGGATTTTTACACTACACATTGCATACTTTGGCCGCTAGATGGGGTGGCGGTGTTTCCCACAGTGGCGGTGTTCCCCCCGCTTCCCCTAATTATCATTATTTAACAAATGCCCTTGCGCCATATTGAAAGTGTATGTTTTGCCGAATATTGCTCCAAAAGCTCGACATTTATATCTGCAAATGTCATCGTTGTTCCACAGGTCACCTAACGACGTATGTATTTCTGTTCATATGTCAGTGACAGGATGTTGACAGCCTCAGATCACAAGAGCAAACATGCTTGATAGGAACCAGCCCCACGGTCGGATGTTGGCACTGCACCCCAAACAAGTCAGCAAGAGGCCTTTATGAGTGCTATTAATAAGAATAAGGGGGACAAATCGCACACGCAATCACGATGCTTCATATGTTTATTCTACCTCACGCAACTCACAGCTAACGGCACAACTCGTTTCTTGCACGCAAACACTTTCCCTGTGTATCCGAAGGTTGGGACTTTTCAATTACTATTAATAAGAATAAGGGGGACAAATCGCACACGCAATCACGATGCTTCATATGTTTATTCTACCTCACGCAACTCACAGCTAACGGCACAACTCGTTTCTTGCACGCAAACACTTTCCCTGTGTATCCGAAGGTTGGGACTTTTCAATTAAGAACAATCACTATTCTTTAGAATTGTGATTTTCTATTGAAAATCCCAACCTGAGCTACCTCTCTAGGGGGACATTTGCGTTTCTGCCGGAAATTGGGACATTTTGATCCCCGCGAAAACGGCACGGTAGAATTGCTTGCCATTTTCAGCGTTTGGTCCCGTATCGGGGAGCTACCGGCTGGCATCGGTCGCTTGAAATATAATTAACCCGTTTTGGGGTAATCGGCACGTGCATTTTCCCATAGGGTTAACATGGGGGAAAATTGGAAATTTGATTTGCGAAAAATTTCGTCAATTATATTTGCTGATATTTTTAGGGTCGGATCTCGGGCTGGCACCCCAACTGACGGTGGTAATTATTTAAAATATAATTGACAAAATTTCGGGTAATCGTCACAAACAGTTACCCCATGTTGAGCCTATGGCGAATTCGAAAAATTATTTTCAAATCGATTTTGCAAAAAATTTCCACGTTAGATTTTGAAAAAGTTTCAATATGTTGTGCACCGGGGTGTCGGCTACCACATGGTATGGGTCAGATATGGGGCGATTGAAAAGCACGTGCCACGTGCAAACGTGTTTGATGGGGTAACCTCCGGGAAAATCCGACATTGGCCAACTTGGGGTCCTATGGCGTGGAAACCACTCCACCTACCGACACCAAATCAACGCAGCCGGTGAGCAGATGAGTCCAGCTTGTCGCACTAGTGGTAACGTGGCGCACGTGCTATTGCACGTGCCGTGGCACGGGATCAATTTTGGTGCTTAAATATATTAGCATTGTGAAATGCAAGGAATGGGGGAAATAGCCGTCAGGCCGTCTGTTTTTATGATAGGGTCGATCTGAAAACGGGTATAGGCACAGAATGAAGGGGGCTAAAAAACTGCTATCTCGGATTTTTTGTAAAATGAAAAATTCGAAATTCTGGGGAAATTATATATTCGAAAGGTGAAATTTCCCTAAATTTTCCCATTTTTCGACTTCAGCCGTCCACTGTTCAGGGACGGTGACACCGGCCGGGGTCATCTTTTATATGCTGATGGCCACGTCGATGGGTCATCACGTGGTGTGAACGGTGAAGCTATCAAAGGTCCGGCACGTGCCACGTGGCCACGTGTTTGAGTCGCGTACCTCCCAGATTATCGTGTGTTTGCCGACTTGTGGCCTTATAGCACGAAAACAGCACAAGCCAGGAACACTGAAATGGTGCAATCAGTGAGGGGACAAGTCCTGCTTGCACCACCAGTGGTCACGTGGCACACGTGCAAATCTGGGCACCTCCGTTGCGGAGATATTTTATAGTGAAATGTTCAAATGTACATAACTTTGTAAGTTGAAGTCCGATTGGGCTAGAATTTGGTGGGTGGATGAATTGTTAAGCGACATGAACGAATGCGCCATGTTTGTTGCAGTGCGCCACGTTTGTCTCAAAGCGCCATTTTTGCCGCAAAGCGCAGAATGTGCGTAACCTTGTCGAACATTGGACGATTATGATGCGCTGTAATTAAGGGATGGCTGCTTAAACGGCAGATATGAATGCACCACATTTGCCGCATGGCGCCATATTTGTCTTAATGCGTCAGTGTTTGCGTTTTGCCTACGGCGGGCGTTTTTTTGCGGCGGTGTTTGCGTTTTTTTCGGTGTTTGCGTTTGACGGCGGGCGGCCGTTTTTGCGTTTTTGGCGGTGGTTGCGTTTGGCGGCGGGAGGTCGTTTTTTTGCGGCGTTTTGCGGTTGGCGGCGGGCGTGCGTGCGTTGCGGGCGTTTTTTGCGGCAGTGTTTGCGTTTTTTGTGGTTTTTGTGTTTGGCGGCGGGCGGGCGGGCGATGCGGGTGTTTTTGCTGTTTGCGTTTGGCGGCGGGCGGCCGTTTTAGCGGCGGTTTGCGGCGGGCGACCGTTTTTTTGCGGCGTTTTGCGGTTTGCGGCGGGCGGCCGTTTTTTGCGGCGTTTTG